GAGGATTGAGATTTTTGAAAAATTATAAAAATAAGGAAATTCGTCAAATTTATTTACGTTTATTTATTTATTTTTTAGTACCATATATAAAGATAGAGATCGAACTCACGACTTCTTAATGATWTATATGCTTGCTAATTATTTAAATCCCATAAGAATTTCACAACTTCTAAATAAATTAAAAGTTACAATTAAATCTCGACGGTAGTTGYACCAAACTTTTATTGGAAGTACAATTTTCCGCCCGGTTAATCGTTATTTTTTTCTTCRGGTAAAATTCGTTTGTCTTTTATAAATAATTTTCCGTATTTCTATAGTTTATTATGATTGATTTTCAACACAGAATAATTAACATATAGAACTTCATTATTTTCACAACCTTTTAAAATTTCCACTTCTTTGTTAGTCTTATAATGATTAAAAAGGAGAATCTATGTATTAACATTATTACTACAAGAATACAGCTAAGGCATAAGAGAGTATAGTCATATAATATTAATTAATCAATTAATTAAAAAACATCTACCTCCGACAAGTTGTTACCACTTAGGTTGTACTCCTACAAAATGTAATAGACAAATTCCTACCTCTCTTTGCTGTCTTTATTTCAAATACATTTTATTTATATAGCTTTTCAAATCATTGTATTGTTTATATAATCACTGTTTAAAAAATTCTATTTTTATTTATTTTTAAATAAAAGAAACAAAACAGTCAATAAAATGAAGGCAGTACTAGAAGATAGAAAAATATAGAGGGTATTATGATGGAAATGCCAGTTGACCAACTTTTGAATAGATCCCTTTTATTTATAAATATATTTATGGACCAATCCCATTGGGGGGGTCCCAAAATTCCTACCCTCACAGCTCAATGGCTTTGGTCATTATTGTAAAGTATCATGTTGTTCCTCTTAGGATAAATATGAATGAACCAAAGAATGAGCATGCCATGCCCATTATCTTTCTATTTATATCTACCCTTGACCATATTGTATATAGTAAATTATGTTTAATCAATGTGGTTTCTTTGGTGCAGCAATGGTAATAATTAGTTCTCTACTTGATTCAAATACCTTAAATTTTAATCATGGTGGAAATATGCACCGACTTAAATTTGAAGTTTTGTCTGATAAAAATAGAATATTTTYTTTTGGAATAACGGAAAGGATTGGAAGAGAAATTGTTGCCCAATTTGATCCACGAAACTGCTACACTTCTATGGATGAAGATTTGGTGGGCATGTCTATGAAGGAAATCTTAGACGTCGTAGACGTAGCGTTAAGTGAAGATCTAGGCTAAATTTTTTTATTTTCTATTGTCATTTTTTTGTGTGATTATGCTACCCTTTGTAAAAAGGAAAAAGAAATCTTATTTTTTATGGTTTTTTTAGAAGTTTAAATTGTGATGTAGTGGGAGAGTTGTGGAGTTGTAAGACCTAAGTTTCAAGCTTTCCAAAAGGGTTTCTTGGGGTTTATTTTCTTGAATGTTGTTTTATTTTGTCTTCTATGATGGTTTTGGATAAGTTAAAGAGGGAGAAAATAACAAATAAAAGAATTAAAAAAAAAAGAGGAAGGAATTGAAAGCAAATCAATTAAAGTTTGAGCTCGTTTTAGTGGGTTTACATTTGCTTCGGCTTTTACATATATACACTAAGAAAAAGAGGATTTTATGCGTGGGAAGGCATCACTCCTACTTCAAAAAGTTGTAAACTTTGCAGCCTATAATATTGACATTTCATCAAAATTGACCATCATTAATACTCATCACTTTTCTTTTTCTTCTTCTTCTTTTTTTTTCCTTCTCGGGTTTCGAAACCACCGGTTGCGGCGGCGCTGCCACCGTGGGTCGCCGTCATGAAATTCCCTATCTACTCTCATAATTACACTGACAATATTTAAATACCCAAATTAATTGAGTTTCACCCAACAAATCCACACCCATCAATCAACTTGTTGAAGCAGTCAAGTTATTCAAATGAGGTCATAGAGAAATTAATCTTTTTGAGTATTATTTTCGATTTTTGTTTTTCATTTTTTAAAATTTGATTAATTATTGCACCAAATTAATATATAAAATAAAATTACACTTTATAAATTAAGTTTAAAAATATTTTATTATTTAATTGTGTGAAATAGACATGCTACTCATACTAATTATTAACTTATTTAGTTTATATGATTTAGTTTGTTATGAAAAGTTGACGACTCTCATTAAAATGTTGGTATACCAACCATTAACAAATTCATGAAACTATTATTTCTAAATTTGTATAGTCGTTCTTTAATTGTTTAGTTACTCTAAAGACTTTGATTAAATTGAGATAATTCATAAAAGATTGAATTAACAAGTTTAAAATATTATGGATCAAATAAAAGAAATCACATAAAATATACAATCGAATTTTTTAACTTTCCTAATAATTGAATTGAATATTGTCTGGTAACTCACGTGGATTTAACTTAACAATTAAAGTATTTTATTCTATATTTTTTAGGTTGGAAGTTTAAATCCTACCTCTCTATATATATTTATTGTAAATAAAAATAACATATTATTTAGTAAAATTAGAAGTAAATATCATCCAAATAAAAATAACATATTACTTAGTAAAATGAGAAGTAAATATCATCCAAATTAGTCCGACATAAGCGGAGCACGACATTCAGTTAAAAGAATTATGAAAATTTAAAACAAAAGTTTAAGAAGATGGAGTAAAGAGGGAGCGTTCATCATCGCAAAATTTGACTTTGTTTTAATTCCTCGACATTTGGTGTAATAAAAAATATATAAATTAATAAAAACAGTTCTCATCTTTTGCCTTTTGGTTGCTTTCAAACGCTTTCTCCCCATTAATGCGATACAGATTTTAGATCCAAATCCTCAATTAATTAAAAATAATAGTCAAATCTTTAATCTGACCATCTATCATTGAATATTATTAACAAAGTTGGTAATAAAGTAATCATTTAAGTTAATTAACGTACTAATTTAATGTACTGTTAAAGGAAGGAGATTTGACATTAAAAGGATAAGATTCCGTGTTTTCATTTTTACAGATATTTTAAATTTATTACATACAGAAATAGCATGAATCTATTATATTATGTTTTTTTTTTAACAATCTTGGGGGGATCGGTGTGGATTCGAACTCACTACTATTTGATTTGATATATGTGTCATAATCAGTTGAACTAAGTTTAAGTTGATAGGTAAAGTATAAAAATTTGTTTCGGCTGCTTAGCTCTATTTCTCTTATTTGACGAGAACGTAATTTTATGATCTATATTGTCTCTTGTTCGGCTCTAGTTATTTTATATTTTTGTCTATAGTGATGTGTATGCTCGTTCTACTACTTGTTGATATAATTTTTGTTCGAGATCCAAACTATCAATAAGTTCTGTTTGGGAGTTATTTTTATAATCTGACCGTTGTTTTTTTTCTTCAATTATGATGACTGCTATGCTTTCTTATATCATTGTTTTTAATTGTCTACTTTAGTTATGTTATTGTATTTTTCTTAATCATGATGCCTTAATTTCAATTTGTAAGATCCATCTTTATACTTTTGAATATTTCGAAAATTCATCTATCCATCTTTAATCGTTGCAATATACTTTTTAATATTAGATAATTCTTCAATCCATCTATATTCATTGCAATATGCTTTTGAATATTAGAAAATTCCTTCTAAATGTACCAATTTGAATACGCTCTCTTCTTCCCTCCAATTTATGTCTTATTTATTTATTATTATTAATTTTTTTCTCTCTCTTTTATTTTCTTCATCATGATTATACCTAATGTTTTAAATTCAGGGAGAATAGAGAGGAAAAAAAGGGAAGAAATAGTCGAAATCATCCATAAACTCTAGAAAACGATACCTAAATAATACATATATATCTCTTTCCAAAGGGTGGCATCAAGCCCATTAATACCATAATGGAAAGACAGAGCATGCCTCAAAGGATAAGAGAAGCCATCTTTGGAGAAACATTTTGAGAGAAATGAATAATGTTGTTCCTTTTTATTTATTTTGTTATTGTTGTTTTTTTTTTAAATAATTGAAGGTGGGGAGATTTAAAATATTTAATAAGTTTCTTACATAGTTCACCATGGGGCTTTTTACCAAAAAAAAAAAAAAGAAAGAAAAAAATTGAACAATGCAATATATAACTGTGGGTCATCTCAACCCTACTATGAAACAAAGTAATCAAATTAGACACGACAATCCCAACCACCAAATCTATGGGAAAAAATAAAAGAAAGGAAAAAACTATGTAGAATATTTTTGGTACAAAATTTGAATTAAATCCCTACCCCGCAAAACGAGTGCATTAATACTTCACTTTTCTAGACCAAAAGGTGTACATATTCATTAATCCATCCATATTAAACATTTATGAATGACATGTTTGTGTTCTTAGCTTTTTAGGACAACTCTTCGGAGTTGTCTTTTCTGTTGAGATTTTATAACTAGTTCATCGAATGAAAAGCTTTATAAGATCTTAATAATTGGAGTTGGCTTTAATAAGTTTAGAGCATAACCAGTTGAGTTGAGGAATAATACGAAGATCGATGTGGGATATCACTCAAAGATGTGATAGGTTGATTTCTTTGAGAATTTTATTATTGACATTGTTGAATGAGTCTAATCAAATTTGTAAAAAATTGATTCTAAACGAAATAGACCAAAGAAATAATTCTCTTTTTAGGATGGACTTAATAATCTCATCCCTCATAAAAGTCTAGGTGGAATAAATTTAATTTTACTAAATATTCGTCTCTAAAAATGGATTCAAATGCTTCTAAAACGTCAATTATCGCTATAATTATTCTAAAACGTATTTAATACGTGGACAAAAAAAGTAAAAAGAAATAAACAAAAGTTTTTTTTTAATTAAAAAATCAGTGTTAAAGACTTTCTCCCCGAATTCGGTTTAAAACGGTTTTTTTTTCCCTTCTTCTTTTGGGGGATAAAACCCTAGATTGAAAATTTGAAACAACGATGAAAGTCAAACTGAAGAATTACTGTTCTAAGAATTTGGTGGAAACGGTTAAAAGTCAAAGCCATACGAAATCGTGCAGCAGTTGAGACTTGGCCGCTTTCTTCATCCTCAGAGAATCGGCCCTTTCAAAATTCAACCCCACTTTTCGATTCCTTAAGAAGAGAATCCGGCGGTTTCAAATCTCAATTGACATGAATGGAAATCCACAGAGGATAAAAGAAATTCCCTGGCAAAAAGTTGAGACTTAAATGCGACGAAAGCTGGAGGGAGAGAGACATGGCCCCGCAATTGATTTTGTGTAAGTAATCCACAATTGATATCTATCTTCTTTTTTTTTTTTATTATTATTTTTACGCAGATGAATGAAGGTGTTTTTTTTTACAGAGAGATTAAAAATCTTTAGAAAAGAAGGTATTGATGAGTTTGATTGGAAGTAATGTCAGATGCCTAGCTTTAAGCATACACAGGCATGTGGGCGACGGCCTTATGGCCATTGGAAAGCGTGGCCGGGCATGTTATTAGCCACATGATTAAATTTTATCTCCGAGCGTGAGACCGGGGGAGGGGGAGGAGGAGGCCACTTGAGCTCGGCCTCAATGCACGCCGAAAAAGTGGCTGCCACCCCCCTCCGACACCCTTCAATTTGCTTCATTTGTTCGTCAATCGTCTGATGCACTCTAGGTGTTTGATGAAATGTCAAAGAGAGAGAAAAAAAAAAGATCAACGCTCTGTCGCTAAAAACAGAGTTGTCAGAGATAATTAGTCAGATTTTGATTAGGGGTGATCTTGAAATCAGGTAGTTAGTGCTTAATGATGAGGCTTCTCTTTGTTTGAAGATCTGCTGTTTGTTTTACATTAATTAATCATTATAATTGGACTCATAATGTGACTAACATGCTGAACTTAAATTCATTTTTGGTGATGACTGATGACAGTTCTTGCATCACGCTTGCTATTCTTCCACTGAGCTGTGAAGAATTAGGAAAAAAAAAGGGGGGGTCATTTTACTAGCTTTGATTATTGTGCACTGCAGCATTTTGTTGAAAAGTACTGATTTGGGTTTTGATTGAGATGATGATGGTGCTTGTTTGTGAGTGAGTCTCTCTACCACTTTGTTGTTGCAAGTTGCCATAGCAATATGATCTGTCTCTTACCTGTCTAATTGGACTGGAGTTTGTTGCACATCCTTGTCCATTGAAGAAATATGTTTAAGTGGGTGGGGTGGTGATAACCGTAGGGGAAATTTTCCCAAACAGTTGATGGCCAAAGTAAAGCAAAGAACTTTGTTGCCATCAATCTTGTCAGTGTCTTCCACCTGCCACCTGTTTGATATGTTGGGTCATGATGACCTCAAAGACTCTTTTTGAATTTTTCTTTGGATTTATATGGCTATCAAAAGCTCTTGCCTTCTCCCTTTCAAACCCCCAAGTCTGTGTGTTCTCAAGTTCCATTCATTCACATATTGTCGAGATATCAAACCAGATGCTTACTCCACAGGGGAATTATAACCCCAATTTGGAGCTTCTTCTGTAGTCAAAGTAGGAGAGGCCATTGTCATGTGTGAATAAAAAATTGGGAAACAAGATAAGGACCCATTATCTCTTAGTAAGCCGTTGGGTCCAACTCTCAATAGGGAGTCGAAGAAAATGCACACTCTGGCGTTAAATGCTGTAGGTGCCAATTCTTCTCAGCCAAGTGTTTGATATATTACCTAGCCGAGATGGGAGAGCCCACTCTGACCTTACACAGGCCCCATTTCCCATCAATCCTCATCATATTTCGTATCATAATCCTTCTATCACTTGAACCTTTGTTAATTGTTCAAATTGTTGAAGGAAAAAAAAAAGGAAGAAGAAACTCTGCCTTGGATCATCCATCAGTACTGCTTGTTCGTCCTGCATTAATTTGGTGGGGCTTTCCAGAGGCTAAACTGTATTAAACTAAGAGCCAGCTAGTGAGAGTTAAATCAAATAATTTGGAGGGGCTCCAGAGAGACAGACATTCGAGTGGAAACTCTCCTTCTCTTCACGTGGCCCTCCTCTCTCTGAGCCAATCCAAAGCTGCCTAACTTCCACTCTGTTCATACCCTATTAAAGAACACTCATTCTAAACCTAACCAAATATTCTTAAATTTGTTTACTTTTCATGGATTTTGGGTCTCTGAGATATTTAGTTTCAGTTTTCAAAGGAGAAACTGAGAAATTTAACTCTGGATATGTTTATTGGCAGATAAATTTGAGGTTAAACTTTAGATTGGTCCAAAAAAACAAAGCTTTTTTGGATGTCAATCAATCTGAAACAGACATGGGGTAGTTCGGCTTCCACTATATGTATTAATTTGAACAGGAATCTATATAAAAAATTTGAAAATTTGATGGTAATGTTAAGGATAATCAGAATTGTCGTGTCTCTTCAAATCAACACGAACCACCGAATTTGTGGGTACCTTTTTGACTTTATGATAAATTTTATTTTTCCAAACATTTGATATATTTTTCTTTTTTGGTAAAGTGGGCTCTGAGAATGTCTCGACCCACGTGAATTTTTTATTATGAGTGAAAGAAGAAAGCAGAGATTTCTGTTTTCTTCTCCTTCTTCTTCTTCTTGGCCATGAAATTGGAGGAGAAAAAGGACGAACTGTGAATGAACTGTGGAATTATGGAGGAATGGGATCATCGGAATGGACAGATTTTGAAAAAAAAAAAAAAAAAGTTGGTTTATTTTCATTGGAAAAGAAGGAAAAAAAAAGGCTTTTAATCATCTCTGCACGTGCAGACTCTCCATTATAACTCTTTTTTTTTTTTGTGCCTTTTATTGTTATGTGTGTGCTTTTTATTTTCTTTTTGCATTGGCTTTCGGTTTCGGGTCATAACAAAACAATCTTTTAGGCCAAACCTCCATTACTCAGAACAACGAACTTGGGGCAGAAAGCATCCAGCAACACAAAGTAATTTAATAAAGAAAAATCTTTTTTTTTGTCCTACTGTTTGTAATATCACATGTTTTATTTTATTTTTTTCGCTCAAATTTATATGAAGCTCAACTTCCAAACTGGATTGCCATAGTTTTACATAAAAATATGTAATTTATTTGTTATGGCACCACTTTTTTTAAAAACAGCCGAAGCTTTTGTATTTTGTGGAAATGGCGACTCGTTTATTAAAATCCAGTTTATTTTATTACTGAAAGAAAAAAAACACCTTTTTTATGGATTCTATGATTTCTTAACACTTCAATGAAAAAAAAAATAATAATAACCTTTCCACGTAGCTTTATTTTTTTATATTTGGAAAAATATAAATGAAAAACAAAAGTTCAAATTTGGAAAAGACATGCCAATAATGGTCACTATAGATCTTTCAAATTCACAACCTCTTAATTGGAGATATATATTAATTATTGGTGAACTATGGTTGCTTTGACTTTGACAAAATAAGTTATTAAAGTATGAGAATGAAGTGAATGTATTTTTAGTATATAATGCACAAGGGGTGATCAATCATTTTGTTAGGTATATAATGTACATATATAATACAGACATTTATATGATGATAATATTATACAATTACTTCCCATAATGGTGCTTATAATTAAAATTATGACAATAAAAATTTAAATAATAAAACGTACCATGAAAGTTAATTAAAATATATAAAAGATTTAGAAACTGAATTTTCAAATTCTAATTAATGAATGACGTGGGATGTGGAATCGTACTCATAACATTTTGGTTTAACATTTTGGTTCTATGCTCAAGTTCAATTAATGACCTAATTAATATTAAGTTYGAATAATTATTGATATAAGGAAGAACAAAAACCGAATTTACAAGGGACTTCTTTTTCCTTTCAAGTTAYGATAAAAATAGTTATCATGTATAATGATTAAAGAAAATTGAACAATGAATGTAATCTCTATTTGGTTTTCGAAATGCTTTGTAAATTGCTTGTTGTAAACTAACCTATTTTATTGCTATTGATCATAGCTGAAAATTTTAAGATAATCTTAGAAACATGYTAGCAATAATCGTTTCAATTCAAGAGACAACTAAATTAATTAAAATAATCAATGGTTTAGTTCACTAGTTGAAAATGAAAAATTTTAATTCATGGAACATTAACATCTCAACATTTTGGTCAAAGTAGGTATAGTTCAGCGGTAATTGATATATATTTCAAACACAACGTTGTAAGTTTGAATCTCAAACCTCCTCCCCAACGCATGTTATACTAAAAAAACATCTCAATATTTTTTTTTTCCAAACTAAAAATACAATTTTAAAAAATAAACATGTTTGAAACGGAAACTAAAATAAATCCGAACATGCTATATGGTTGTTATATATATATATATATATATATATGAAATCTAAAATAATTTAGATATTTTAGATAGGCATATCTCTCGTTGGGCACAGCGTTCCAGCTTGTATTGTTTTTTAAAATTAATTTTAAGAACACTGTTTCCACTGGTTTTTCTTCTCCCTTATTTGTGGATTTGATGAATGTGGCAGACATTGGAAGACCAGTAGGATTCTCTGTTGGAAATCGTATGTGCAGACGAGTTTCTTTCCACAATTTTCGCTATTCTTTTTATAATAAATATTTCCCTTTTCTTTTTCTTTCTTCGGACAAAAATAAATTATAGCTTTATTAAAGGTATATATTATTTTTTAATTTAGGCAAGTGAAACTTCTGTGGTTATTATCTAAAGATCCTATGTGGGATTTTCATAATCTCAATTTTTATTATTCAACATGTCAACCCACAACAATCGTATCTCTCCCTTTTTTCAATATTTTATTGCTCTTCTTCTTCCCTCTCCATTTTTCTTTTCAATAAATTCAAACGTGACATTTTTTTAATGAAAAGCTATTTTTCATTAGAGAAAAGACTGAGTTTAAGTCATTCCAAACTCTTAGACTAAAGTTTTAAATAATAGACTAAAGTTTTAAATAAAGGAAACGGGTCTTGAGCATCAACTTCATTAATTGACGATTCAAGTTTATTTTAAATAAGTAATTCTAAAAATATGTTTTTTTAACCTTTCGAGTCTAAAAGAGTCAACTTTATTTAGTTTGAAAATGACAGGTTCGCTACGGTGAAAAGTTTATCATCCAGTTGCTTTTGTCATCCAAAGTTTCTCATTTTTTCGTTAGACAATAATCCGACTCAACAACTCAGCCCTGAAATTTAACTCTAGTAAGAGTGTTGAAGATTGACATAGAATGAAAATGTTGACATAGTGAATGTTTTAATTTGTGAGGGTAATGAAAGTAATTAGTAGAGACAATAATATTCTCCGAAGTGATGCTCCAACGGCTGAAAAATAGCTATAATTCTTGAATATGTGGTACGGTAAATTAATTTGGGCCTGAAAATGCGACGAGGTGCGGAGAGTAACTAAGCCCATAGATTAATCAATTTGGGCCCTTAAATTCGACGTGGGCCCAAAACTAAGCATACATGCCAAGACGTGAACAGTAAAAAGCCCACATATTAATTAATTTGGGCCTGAACGTTGACTTGATCTTTGGGCCTCAGGAGTCCATTATCTACGCTATGATAGGTTGGTACAAATTTTGAAGTTTTATAGTTTTATTTTGGGCCCTAATATTGTTCTCAATTTGGTATTTAATATTTCAAAATTCTCAGTTTTACCTTTCATATATTCTCAGTTAAGTCCTTAGGTAAAAAAAAAAGAAAGAAAGTTTATTAAAAAAAAACTGATATATATTAAATTACTGTTATAATTATATATTTATACATAAATATGCTACTTGAACCAATGAGAAGAAACTGATTTTATTGATTGGCGGGATAAACTTTTTTAATGATTGAGTTTGGTTGTGTTTGGTTTATCACGTAGCATTTGGATAATATGTCAATGTATCCAAATATTATTATTATTATTATTTAGGACAAATAATCTCAATGATATAGTAATTTTTGTTAACAACATTTTCATAGAAAGAACAAATCAAGAATTTTTAGTACATCAAATTGAGAATCTTTGAAAAATAAGAATTAAATTGAAATGAAACTCAAAATTAAAATATTCCCTTTTATTTATTTATTTTTTCTAAATAAAGTTAATAAGTTAAATAATGAGAAGAAAGGACAGTGTTCACGTCGGTGTCTCACCTTTTTGTTGGTGTGCTGACTAAGTCACTAACGGGAGACCACCTTTTAGGATCTCACAACTGGTCGGTGTCTCACCTTTTTTCTGGGTCTCGTTTATTTTGTTATACAGACATCAATTTTGATTTCTGTATTTTGAAAAAATAATTATTTTAGGATGTTTGATAATATTCTACTTTATTATTTCTCGTTTCCAATTTTCTTAAAAAATATGAGCATTTTACAACTAAATTCGCAAAATTATATATAAATTTTTTGAAACAACCAAAATAAGTTTCTTTTTTTTGGTTTCCATTTCAAATTTGTTCCAAAACATAAATAAAAATATTTTTTTATCATACTAAATTCAGGAAGGTTAGGTCATAAAATTCATTTTTGTTTATTAAAAATGAAGAAACAAACAACGAGTATGAATGTTACCAAACAGACTCTTAATACTTTTATTATCATTTTTATCCATTGTAATTTAAACATAACAATTTGTTCGCTAAATTTTTTAAAACGCAATCATAAATTTGTTTAAAGGAGGTTGAATTGTGTATAAATTTTGTGTTAAATTTTTACATCAACTTTCTCGCTTTCCTGCCTTATAGAAATTAAAACATATATTTTGGGAGTACAATAACTAGCATTGTCTAGAAAAATGACTACAACGAAAAAACAAATTAAGTACAATGATTAAAATAATGTCTAGAAACCAAAATAATATTTAAAACTTAAATGTAATATATCCATGCTTAAAATTATTGAAGGAAAATTTTTACCTAGTTATATCTTCCCAAGCAAGAATTCTCTTGTGTGTTTATTTATGTTAACATAACTATAATTGACACCTATCTCTGACCAATTAATAAGCTGTAAAATCGAATGTGAGCCTTACTATTGTACTCAACCCGACAAAAACTATGGGTCGTGAGAAGAAAGTACTGCATTATATCACGTGGTTTTCGTTGAAAATGGAGAGAAATTATGGTGATGGGCAAGAGAAAGAAATTGAGTAGGCAGCTCAGGCGTCTGATCACTGCAAACAAGAAAATTAATGGCTCTTGTAATAAGTACTGAAACAATAATCAAATATTTTGAAAATTTGCATTATAAACTTGTTGAACTAACCCCCCTTTACGATTTTGTTTTGTTTTGTTTTCCCTTTCTTGTTCTGTTAATGTTCAGTGTTGTACATTATTACCGAAAAAGTAGCTCGAAGTAGTGAAATGGTGGGCAGTGGATTGTCAAGTCAACAATAATATTAATGCACGCTAGAAGTAGGACAGAAAGGAGGAAGAAAAAAAAAATCGATGCATTATTATATGATATTTTCTATTCTAGAGGTAAGTATTCGGTTTTATTTTTTAGTTTTACCCAATAATCAAGACTCTAAGAATCAAACTTAAGAAACATCAAAGATCTTTTTATATTTAGTTAACGTTGGTCCACGAGACTTCATGTCCTTAACAATGGGGTGGTATCTTGGTGGCTGCAAATCACCTTTAATTCACCTCAAATTTTAAAAGGCTCACTCTCATCGTCATGTTTACTACAACTATGAGAGAAAAGAAAAGAGAGATATATTATTTTTCAAAAAAAATAAAAATAAACTGTTAAATTTTTAATAGTGGTTATCAAAAAGATTCTTAGTGAGAGATAAAGTATTTTTTAGTACAATGGAGATCTCTCAATTACCCCTACCTAATAAAGGAGCAAGAGATAAAAATAACAATAACGGTCATCCTATCTTGACCAACCYCATTAAATTTTTGACGAATAAAGAAGAGAAGTATTAAATTCTTAACACTAATTACTTGAAAAATACCGTGTAGATAATAAGTAAACATATTTAGATTCTTACTCTTATCTTATACTAAATATGTTTGAATATTTGATAACGAAAAATGTATATGGAATTTCTTAAAAGAAAAAAAAATTTAATGATTAGAGATAATTTCTGTTTGGTTGAAAAATGAAGAAAACCCACCAAACTTTGCACCAAAGTTACGCAAACTTGTGCCCCACCACCACCGTCAATCTCACTCCTCCCCTTGCAGTAGTAACAGAGCCAGACCTCTTTATAATCCCAAAATATTAATTTTTAGAGCAAATCAAATTTTGTATCTCAAGGATCATGGAGGACGTGAGGGTGGGAGCCAACAGGTTCGAAGAGAGGCAGCCCATAGGGACCGCGGCTCAGACTCAGACCAATGCCAAGGACTACCGTGAGCCGCCCCCGGCCC